AAGAAATCTACTTACAATATTTGTTTTGGAGTAAGAAATGGAGTAATACATTGGAGTAAAATTCAACTCTATTTTAAAATGAAAAATAGAATAATACATTGGATATACTCTTAGCAAAAACTCACCAGTACTAGCTTTGAGCCTTCCACATTAGCAAAAACTCACCATTTAGGAAATCGGACTAGAAGACTTAGCTAGCATTAGAAATTTACGGAAGTTCTAAACAGTTACATGATTTCTTAGATTTTAGCTAGCATTAACAATAATACAAATTCGAATTGACCAACCGTTGATAGTTCACTTGATTGTACACATTTTTTGGGGAAGGTTAAATCTTTGGGATGATTTACGTCTCATAATTATTAGTAAGGGATAGTTCCGGTTTTGACCCAAAAAAAAAGGGCTAGTTCCGGATTGAAGAAGATAATAGGCCGAATGCCCAAAACTTCATTTTTAGATAAAACAAAACTTGAGTTAATTAAACTAAAGAGAAAAACACAGAGAAAGACATGAGGAGATTCTTTTTTTTTTTGAGAAAAAATATGGGGATCAGATTCAAGCTCAGCTTATATTGCTACTTGCGAAGAAGGCAAACAATGAAAACAATTTTATATCACAAAACTTTTTTTATAAATGAAAAAATTTACAAAGATATACAAAATTAAACTAAAACCTTGGGAGTCTCAGCCTCCTCATCATAATTGGGTTTTTGTTTCCTTGTGGCCCTTATATAACAAAACACCGCCACAAAAAATGTAGTCGCTAAGCCGCCGATAATAACTCCACCGCCGGCGACTGATCTGTCCACCGTAGAATGGTGGTGGCCTCGCCGTACAGTCTCTTCCAAATGTGAAACTTCCGGTGCTTCGGCCTCCGTGCTTGGCCAGTCGTGTCCACCGAGTTTCCTTGCCACCGGAGGCTCAGCTTCCGATGCTGCTGCGGCCATGGCCAAGGCGTACGTTACTAAGCAGCATATGACTATACGTTGTGTAGCCATTTTAGGGTTTGGTTTGATTAATTTCTCACTTTTCTTTTCTTCCTTGGTTTTACTTGGAGATGATGATTGTGTTCGTGGAGTTATTTATAGGTCAATATTTTCTATTTAAAAGTTTCTTTATTTTTTCTATGATGCATTTTTTTGTATCAGTCGGGTGAGAGATCGTGTGGTGTCATATGGAAATTTCTTAGTGTTTGGTTCCCGGGAAAATCGGGTAGATGCACTTAGCTTCGAATATCGCCCAAGATTATGAATTTAGTAAGTTTTTTTTTAATAAAAAATTGATTATTTTTTGTGTTCTTCAATGGAGCTGTCGGGTTGGCCGGAGGAATCATACGGGTGTACACGTGAATCAAATTTTTAAAAACATATTATGAAAACTTACGATTCATTCAAAAAGTCTACCCTGTATTGG